AACATCCTGGCTGCAAGCCCTTCTCCTCCATTCTCTTCTCGGGATCTTGGGCACACATGCAACATGAGCCCAGCGTGAGTTTAAGTCACTGCGTCCGGGACTCAAACCACAGTCGACTACATGGGAGTCCAGTAACATAGGCATTACACTAACAGCTGGTCCCAATAAATAAAAATTTTTTAAAAGAAAATAATTCAAGACAAAAAAACCCAAAAACCTCAGGAATTTGATCATAGATCAACCAGCTGTTCAGGACTTCATCTTGTTGAAGTCTTATTTTATATATGAAACTGAGGCCAGGAATGACAAAAAAGTGGGGTGAAGAGAGATTAAGAAGAATAGAAAGAAGAAGATGAAAAGGAGAAGGAGGAGAAGTGTGAGAGAGAATGTCCAAACTCAGTTGTCCACAAATACTTGGCTAAAAGTTGCTCTGAAGAGAGGTTCTTTCAGGTATAGACATCCTTTTAGCTAGTATTCACAACCACACATACCACTAGTTCTACCTTGATTGCACACTAGAATTACCTGGGGAGCTGTAAAAAATTCTGATGCCCGAGTCCCACCTCCAGGGGTTTTCATGTAATTGGTCTCAGATGAGGCTTGAGCCTCAAAATTTTAATATACTCCCCAGGGGGTTCAAATTTGAAACAAAGGTTGAGTATCACTGACATAAAGGATTTTGTTTCAAGGCTGGGAGGTAGGGGATGGTGGTATATGATTTTTTTGATTTAAGAGTAATGGCTTTTTTAGAGTTGCTTCCCTAAATAAATAAAAATGGCTTACTGGGGCCATTCTGACCTTGTAATTTAGAGCAAAGGAAAACAAAACATTAACACCTTGGAGTTGTAAGTTAAATTGGAGTTCATCTTAAAAATAAGCTGCAGGCTCACTTGAGGTGGTACAAATGGTAAGGCACTACTGCATGAGGCTAAGGCCCCACAGGAGGCCTGGGTTTGAATTATGGACCAACTGAATGGGGACGGGCACTGTAGTGTGTGCCTATAATCCTAGCTAACTAGGCACAGGATCACAACAGTGAGACCCTATCAAAAACCTCTTTCTGTCTCTCCCTCCCTCTTCCTCCCTCCCTATCTCCCTTTATCTCTCTCCCTTTCCCTTCCTCCTCTCTCTCTCTCTCTCTTAAACATTAAGTAAATAAATAAATAACCAGCTGCAAAAAGGTTGTTCAAGAAAGTAGGTCAAAATCAGTTAGAAATGACTATCTATATAAGCTATGTATTATTTTGCTCAGAATTTTGGTGTTTTTAAAATTTACTTACTTGAAGGACTAAAAGATATTTCAGGCTTTTGGGGAGATTTTAAAGCAGTTCTTTTCGGTGTTCCTTACATGTTCTAAAGTCTAAGAGGATCTTATTGCAGAGACAGGAAAACATCAGAGTCCAAAAAGGGCCTTAAAAGAGCCTTCATGGTTGTGGTATTATACTATAGATTTGCAATATATTACCACTGGAGGAAACTGGGCAAAGGGCACATGGGATCTCTCTGTATTATCTCTTACAACTCCAAGCAAATTTACTGTTATCTCTAAATAAAAAGCTTAATTTACAAAATATCTTCAGGGTTTGTCCTGTAGTGCAGTGGTTAAGGGCTGTGCATAGGGAGCCAGATCCTGCATGGCTGACCACAGTTCAAATCCTAGCCTGGAATTAGATTGGATAGAGAAATGGAGAAGAAAGAATTGAGCTGTGGCCCTACCCCATTGTGTTCTCTCTCTCTCTCTCTCCTTTCTCTCTCTCTCTCATACACACCCTCTGACAATAACAAAAGTGTCTTTAGGAGCCGGCAGGTGGCATGGAGGTTAAGCCACTGGATCCCACACGGCCGGCTCCATGGTTTGAATCCTGGCTTGAAAATCATGCCGGGCACATGTATGTGTGTATGTGTGTGTGTGTGTGTGTGTGTGTGTGTGTGTGTGTCTAAAATCTCAAGAAGAGACTGAAGGAGAAGGGATGGCAACATGGACAAATACCCTAGAGGGTGATTTATCATTTTCTTTTCTTTTTCTCTGGTGAGTGCATGTACCCTATAGAAAAAACAAAGACAAAAAATGTCTTCAGGATGTATTCTAATACACATGTTTATGAAAACATACCTCAGTCACTACTAACCTAAGGCTATCCCTGGCTTAAAGACACTTAGGCCAGTTTACTTCTTGAACCATTGGTTCTGACAATGTGAATGAGATATGGATTTTTATCCATTTCATGTTGCTTCTATTCCAAACTCTTCCATTTTTCTAATGGTAAATTTTGATGTAATCTCTTGGGGGTCAAAATCAGATATTAGCTATTGTCAAAAACAAAATTATGCTTGATTTCACGTTTTGGCTTTTTACTTGTGCTTACTATTCTCTCTCCACATACCAAACCTTCCCCGCTAATACACACACATCACACTCTCCCTCAATAGCATGAGGGCCAATTCATGTGAAATTATGACCTGGAAACCAAACAAACAAACAAAAAAACTGTTTTAGGTTTTTGTAATAAAGGAATCGTGTTTGAACTACTGGTTCCCCCTCCTGTGCACTTTGTAAAACCTGTTAAGCTGATGTTTTTTTACCCAATTGGCAACTAAACCAATCAACTGTTTCTGTTGAACTCGGGTTTGATGGTTCCCTATAAACAGGAACAATCTATGAAAAGAATAGTCTAGACAGGAAACACATTGTTAAGACTACTTTGAATTCCTCCCCCACGCAGGATGTGGGACCTATAGGAGACTCAGAAGGGATTCTTCTATCTTTTCATTTGGGGCTCATTCAGAAACAAATGATAAATTTGAAGAATTTTCTCTGATTTTGAACAGATTTCTATGTATTAAAATGAGTAAAAACCTCTTCCCCACTTCCTCACCACATGTATTTCACTTCACTTCACTTTCCACACATATTTTTGGGTGCCTACTATGTGTCAGGCACATATATTTCCATTACTACAGATGCCATTTATTATTCAGATCATATCCCACAACACCTATCCCTTTTAGAAAAAAAAAGGAAAAATATTTATTTAAAATAAAGTGGAACCATTTGGTATTTTTGGTCTACCAAGTCCAAATGTTTGCTTCTAAAGATAGGTCTTGAACCCTTTTGAAAATCAGTAACTATTTTAAGGCCCAGCATTCTGTACCTAACCTCTTTTGTTACAGAGAGTACTGAATTAAGTCCAGCTCTATCACTAACAATTTAGGAAGAATAATAAAGCTAAAAGACAAGGGATGGAGTTGGAGACAATGTAAAATGATGTCAAAAAGATTAATTAATGGTACTACCAGCAAGACCTTAGGGGTGGCCACAACGATTAATGTGGGGGCACTAAATTTGGTTTAGAATGACATCTAATTGACAGTCACTGTCTAAGCTGCTCTCAACTTCTTACCACAGTAAAAAACTGGGGCTGAGAAAAAGAGGAAACTCACGACAGAATACTGAAACTGACATCATCTGCTCTCAGGATCTGGAAGAAATCTTACTAACTATAAAGCAGACAGAGCTAGATGGAGAAAATATTTCCTCAGAGTCTATATTAACCAGAAAACTTGGAAGCCCACCCTTTTTTTGCAGAATGCTGCTATTTTTGAGATGTCCATAGTGCTGTTCTCCACGTCCTCACACAATCCTTCTATATCCATTCAGAAATAGTAATGTCCAAAAAAAGAAAAAAGAAAAAAGAAAAACTGCTAGAGAATAAAGCAAATACAAATGGGTTCCATTTAATGCTGAGGCTTTGGGTTGGATGTTGGCAAGCTAGTGATATGCAAGTCAGAAGTGGTCCTTGCGATGACAAGAAAGACCAGCCTAACCAACACTGTGATGTTTGTATTGGTCATTCTGTTGTGTCTCCACATCAATACCTTTCTCACACCTTCACTATCCTCAGGCCTGTACTATAATACTCTAAACTCCTGTCTTATATCTAGTTCTTACTGAGAACTAATTCCTAAAGTTTTAGAGAAGCATTTAAGTTCTTTTTATAATAAAACTAATATGTGCTTATGAAAAAGCATCAAATAATACAGAAGAGTTTTGTTCTCTCCCCCTTCTGCCGTTCAGTTAGGGTTAGGGTTAGAACTTTTCTTATAAATCTACACACATGCACACACAATTTTTACATGAGGAAATGATCAAATAAATTTTATCCTGTACCTTGCTTTTTTACACAGTAAGTCTTGGACCTCTCCACTTTGCTTCATTTAAATATACTATATTCTTTTTAAAAATTCAGTGTCCATAGATTGGATATAATTAACCAAGTTCTCATTGTCTCCATTTGTCTTGCTTTCACAAAGACAATGAATATCCCTGTATACTATTTTTGTACAAGGGTGTGATGAGCCGCTTTTTATGTGCAATGAACAACTTTGTATATTTTTAAAAAGTCCTTCACTATAATAAACTCTTTGAATGGCACATTTCCTTTTCAAATTTTAAGAAGTTTGAAATAAAATTCTTCATAGACATATTTTTTATACAGGGATTCTATGTTAATTATTTCAAAATACAGACAAAAGGTGCTATTACTATATGAGGGAACTTGAAAAAGTTTGTGGAAAATAAAAATTAAGTACGAATTTATTTTGGTTTAAAAAAATCTAAAATCTGTGCATAATTTTTTCATAATATGCACTTTCTGTGAACTTTTTGAAGATGCCACATATGTAAGAGATACCTATTTGTGAGGCTCAGAACACTAAGGTTAGTGCTAAGAACAGACATGAGACATCGCAGAGTGAAGAGAAGAAATTTTGGCCTGCTACTTTTCTTCTCTTCCAACTATATGACTAAGCATTTAAAGTTTAGGGGAAAATTTGTACATGTCCAAAGTACCCACTGACTCCCACCAAAAAGATGTGGTGGACTACCTTACAATCCCATAGACAGTCCTCATTGTTAAGGACAGAGTTAGTGACCAGCCTTCCTTAGAGAGGATATAAAGACTTGGTTAAGTCTGAGCTAGGCGAAAGGCTGGGGTTATAGTTTCTTTGTGTTCATGTCCTGGCCCTGGTTACTAATTATACAGTGTAGTTGAATTATTATAGGTTGGTGATTATGTCATTCAAATTTGAGGAAGGTAAGAAAACTGGTATTAGAAATGAGTACTTATTTTTGAATTTGCTGGGATAGTAGCCATGGGGAGAGGAAAGCTTGACCCTGATGCTGTGGAGTGCTGTCTTATTTGAGCTATTCACACTTACTGCTTCTCTGTTGGCAGGCTGCCGGAAGATATCACCATCGGAATGTTCCCACGACAATTCTCCATCTCCTGTTTATTAAAAAGAAATAAAAGAATAATCATACATACATAGAAGGGAAAACTATCATGGTTGCGACCCAGTAACATTTTTTAATACTGTGATCCCAAAGTTTTCAAGATGTTTTTGTTCTTGTGGTTGCCCTTCAAAAGTGCCAAATGATTTCTCTGGGTGTGCCTCACTTATTAAAATGGCTTACCTGAAAAAAAAAAAAAGATCAACCCAACTAAAAGATGTGAAAATGAGCTGAATAAAATAACTCTTTAAGGAAGACATACAGCCAAAAAGAATATAAAAAATGCTCAACATCCCTCATCATGACGGACATGAAAATCAGATGAGATACCACCTAACCCCAGTCAGAATAGCTAAGATTAATAAAACAAGAAAGGATAAGTGCTGGTGAGGCTGTGGTGCAAGGGGAACTCTCCTACAACGTTGGTGGGAATGAAAATTAGTTCAGTCACTGTGGAGAACAATATGGTGGTTTCTCAAAGACCTACATATAGAACTCCATATGATCCAGCAATTCCACTATTGGGTATCTACTCAAAGGATAGGAAAATGCTCAATCAGAAAAGGGCTTGCACATCCGTTTATTGCTGCATTATTCACAATTGTTAAGACATGGAACCAACACAAATGTCCATGAACAGATGAATGGATTAAAAAGTGTGGCACATATACTCCATGGAATACGACTCAATCATAAAAAAGAAACAAAAAACAAAAAACAAAACAAGACTTTGGTATTTGATAGAAAGCAGATAAATATAGAAGATTTGCTGCTTAATAAAGCAAGCCAGGTTATGAAAAAGAGACACTGTATGTCTCCACTTCATACATACTGTCAGCACCCGATGGCTGAAACTATAGAAAGTGTATAGAAAGCATGGAAAATGGTTACAGAAACTGGAGACCATGTGGGAAGATGGTGAGAGGAAGGGAGTCAGGGGGAAAAATAGAGAGGGAAGACATTTATGAGACACAGAAATGGATGATTATCTGTTGATAATGTGTATGGGATCCTCAACTGGACTAGTGTGAAGTGTATTCATGTTGGCTAAATTCACTTGAGTTATAGTGGTGTATAGTGATTAAATGTATAAAATAAATTAAAATTTAAAAAATTTTCAACAACCACAAAAATAATAATAAATAAAATTAAATAAGCCTCTTTTTATATAGAGAGATTTTTGCTACAAGGCATGTGTGCTTCCTGGAGAGACAGAGAGAGAAAGAGAGACAGAAAATGATAAATCACCCCAAAGAGGGGATGGCCACACCACAGTTCCTTCTCGTTATTCTCCTCTTGGGATTTTGGGCACGCACTCACTAGGTCCGGGATCTGAACCATGATCGACTATGTGGGAGTCCAGATATATAACCATTATGTTATCGAATAGTCCCAGAATTAAATAAATCTTGAAAAAAAAAACAACTCTGAAGAAAGTTTCCACTTTTCAAAAACATCATCTAACAACGTTAAACAACGTTATCCATAATTTGGAAAATAATCACTTTTTACCTTAATACAGTCATCACTATCACTATTGCTTATTATATACCAGTGACAGTTAAGTATTTTGCAGGTCATATTTAACTTGTGTTTAAAGTATCTTTAAACAATGAGTTTTGAGGATCTGATCTGTCATGATTTGTTAAATTCACCATTATGTCTCTGAGACGTTATGACTTAATCTAAAAGTGAAGGTAAAACTTGCTAGAATTAGTTGTATATATAACAAGTATCTAAGACACTCTGTATTATTTTTGCCTGCCTTTCTCTGGGTCTATATGTCCCACTCTTTGGATAGCAAACCCGTATCATTTTTGTCTTCCAGAGTAACTACGGTTACAACAAATATTCTATGTTCAGACTCAAAAGTAACAAACACATAACAGATAGGGATATTCCTCTGATTATACATTAAAGATAAGGCCTCAAGGCCTAGCTGTAATGACAAAAGAAGTAGGACACTAATGCATGATTCTGGAGTTGCATTCAGGGCCTGAGTTCAGAGCCTGGACCAATCTAAAAATGCTGCGTGTGGCAGCAGAATCCTCTAATCCTGGCTAATGAGGACGCTGGAGGGTTCCAGTAGGACGAAGGTATGGTGAGATCCTGTCAAAAATAACTATTTCTATATATCTCTTTCTCTCTCCTCACCCCCTCATTAAAATAATATAAAAAACAGGAGGATAATTTCCAAGAACATTACCTCCTGTTACATATGAACAAACAAGCAGATGGTGAGAGTGTGGTCTTAGAGATGTTTGTACCACCTTAAATTAGTACTATTTAACTTTTATATATAAGCCTGAAGATAAACTTAATATTTCAACCACAAAATTCATGGGATAACAAGAAATAAAAAATGCATGAGTATTTTTTAATTGTGAAAGAATTTTTGTTTTCTTTTGCTTTTCTGTTATTTCTAAATTTTGTTTTTATGATAAGCCTGTATTATATTGATAATTATTACAGATTTTTAAAAAAATTATTATTATTATTTTATACATTCAATCACTATACATTATTTAAGTTGTAGACATAATTTACCCAACATGAACTACACCTCAGACCTGTCCAGTTGAGAATGTTATACATGTTATTATCAACAGGTAATAAACCATTTCTGTGTCCCACCAATGTCTGTTTTTCTCTATTTTCTCCCTAATTTTCTTCCCTACGCTCTCCACCTCTCCCACCCTCCTTCCACGTATCTCCAGTGTCCTTAACTATTTTTGATGTTTTTATAAAGCCTTCCAATATTTCCATCTCTACCATATAGTGTGGACAGTTGGTATAGCCTAACTTGCTTCACTCAGCAATATATCTTCCATATTCATCCACTTTATATTAAATGCCAGGGTCTTGTTGGTTTTAATGGGTTAATAGTATTAGATGTGCAAGCACTTTTCCAACTGAGTCTTTTTCTGTCCTTTACATAGATACCCAAGGGTGGAACAGCTGTATCATATGTTAGTTCTGTTTGTACATCTTTGAAAAACCTCCATATTGTTTTCCACAGTGGCTGGACCAATTTACATTCCCACAAACAGTGTAGGAGAGTTCTCCTTTCACCACAACCCTACCAACACTAATCATTTCTTGTCCTTTTAATCTGCACCATTCTGACAGGGGTTTGGTGGTATCTCATTGTGGTTTTAAACTACATCTCCCTTATAATGAGGGATGTTGAGCACAAAAATGCATAAGTATTAAAAATGTTCTATTCTGGGAGCAGCAGACGGGTAGCGATTATACCTCTGGACTACCATGTAGTAGACTGTAGTTTGAGTCCCAGACCTGGTGGCTTAAAACTCATGCCAGGCATGTGTGCGTGCATGCCCAAAATCCCAAGAAGAGAATGGAGGAAAAGGGATTGCGCCATGGCCATTCCCCTGGGGGGTGATTTCTCGCTTTCTGTCTCACTGTCTCTCCAGTGAGCACATGTACCCTATAGCAAAAATCTCTCAAAAAAGAATGTCTATTATAATTAATGTCCCAAGTTTTCAAAACTCTAAATTAAAACAGTAATTTGTTACCAGTTTAAGTAGATGATAGTACTTGCACCACTCCCCACCCCATCTGGAGACTGGTTCAAATGGCATTACTGGTCACCATGCTGCCTATGGCTGCAGGCCCTGATGTCTGGGACCCATGGCTCATTCCCCCCACCCCACTCACCTTGGGACTCTCAGAACTTCTGTGTTTTGAATAGTGTGCGTCACGCAAGGTGGGCTGCGTGATCTTTTCTTTGCTCCTGAGGTGAAGCTCATTAGCTCAGTTGGAGGTTCACCACTTTTTAGAATCAGGGAGGATTTTTGGTCACCAAGGACCTGTGACAACAGTGCAGGGTACTGCTGAGCAACAGGGAGGCAGACCAGAACACTCAAAGGTACATTGAATACTTTAGGAAGTAACGTATAAACCACCAGATGACTAGGAAAAATTGTAGAGGCACAAGAAGCATGAGTAACCAAAAAAATGTCTCTCCCCCAAGGGAAAACATTAATCTCACACCACCTGTAGAAAACACAGTGGACGTCATGAAAATATCAGATAAGCCATTCAGAATATTTATAGTGACCAACCTGAGATGCAAGAGAAAAGAGACAATGAGATCCAGGAGATGTGGAAGTCCTTTCATGATTTGAAAGAAGAAATAGACACCTTGGAAAAGAATAAGATGGAACTGTTAAGGATGAAGAATGTGATACAGAAAATTAAAACTTCCCTTGAAAGTATTAAAAGTAGATTAGATCACACAGAATATCGAATCTTGAATGTAGAAGACAAAAACTCTGACCTAGAAAAAAGTATCAAGAATATTGAGAAAACAATAAAAAAAATGAGGATAATATGTGAGGAATACTAGATACCATCAAGTGCCCCAACATTTGGATGATTGGTATCCCAGATTAGGAAGAAAATAATAAGGGCATTTATAATTTATTTCATGAAATCCTGGAAGAACACTTTCCAAACCTAGAAAGGCATTCAAATATCCTAACTCAAGAAATACATAGAACCCCTAATATAATCAACCAAAGAAGATCCTCTCCAAGGTACATCATAGCCAGACTGGCAAAAACAACAGACAAAGACAAGATACTTAAATTGGCAAGAGAGAAATGTCAAGGTACTTACAAAGGTCACCCCATCAGGCCAACATAAGACTTCTTGTCAGGCAAGGAAACAATGGGGAAATATAGTCAAAGTGTTGAATGAAAAACAATTTCAACCAAGAATACTATACCCAGCAAGATTATCTTTCATATGGGAAAAGAAAATAAAAACATTCTCGGATAAACAAAACCTGAAAGAATTTACCAACTCCAGACCAGCTCTTCAAGAAGTTCCGAAGGGAGTGCTATGCCAGAAAAATGAAAAAGTCAGATGAGCTGTTATAAGAGAACAAAAAAAACAACCAAGAAAATGGCTCATTTAATGATAGGAACACGTCTGGAAATATCGACAATAACATTGAATGTTAATGGATTA